GAGATCTCAGCGTTCATACGGACAGACGGACATGGCTAGATCGACTCGGCTAGTGATCCTGATCAAGAATATATATACTTTATGGGGTCGGAAACGCTTCCTTCTGCCTGTTACATACTTTCCGACGAATCTAGTATACCCTTTTACTCTACGAGTAACGGGTATAACAAACATTAAGTCATAAAACCGATCATTTCGTCAACTCGATTTCTTATAAAAATAAATTATCTTCCAACTTTCAAAATAAAATCGTTGTTCCAATTTTTTTGTACCTGGATGGTTTTGAAATCAATAACCCATTAGGCAGCCATGCTATTGTAGACAACATATGCGGTGTTTATTAGACGTTCCCCACAATACCGCAGCAATTGCTTTCTAAGTTAGATTTTATATTCGTTGCTGCCTATTTCAAAACGACTCTAGGTAAACAATTTGGGATAGATTTATTTCATCAACCGCATTGACATTGTCATTAGCACTGATTTAGGTCCCAAACGGGTTATTTATGTAACATATCCTTTAATTCCAATTCTTATTGTCGATTTTGTACAAAAACTAAGCAAGACCTCATGAAAGATGCATCCCCTGACCAAGAGTGTTTTAGAAATGTACAAAATTATGAACAAGCCCTTTTGCAGGATGATCCTAAGCTAACAGGTGTCAGTTGCGTTTTTAACCAGTTAACGTACTTTACTGCAACTGAAAACTACATTGTTGACATAATGCATGACTTTTTCGAGGGCATTTGTAAATACGACATTTCTGAGATTTTACTTAATTTTTTTACCGTTAACAAATTCTTCACACTTGAAAATTTTAATTTTAGAAAAGAAATGTTTAACTATGGCTAAATTGAGATCGGAAATAGAAAAAAGCCTTTCCAAGTTAGCCATCTTAAATCGAAGTCCATTCGTGCTTCGGCTCGAGAAATGATGAACATAACCCATTTTCTTACATTAATAATTGTAGACTTGGTTTCTCCAAACAATCAAATTTGGAAATTCTTTTACGTTTCTACGCAAACTAGTCTACCAGTTTTAAAGCTATAGGGCTAAAAAGTATTATTTCTTTTGCAGGTAGTATATAAGTCGGAACCAGCCGGATCGGACAACAATATCTTATAGCTCCCATAGGAATAATCGGGAAAAAAAATTAAAAAAACTATATCTTTGGTGTTTTTTAACACATAACCTCCTAAGCTGGGAAATAACATTTTTATACCCGTTACTCGTAGAGTAAAAGGGTATACTAGATTCGTCGGAAAGTATGTAACAGGCAGAAGGAAGCGTTTCCGACCCCATAAAGTATATATATTCTTGATCAGGATCACTAGCCGAGTCGATCTAGCCATGTCCGTCTGTCCGTCTGTCCGGCTGTGTGTCCGGATGAACGCTGAGATCTCGGAAACTATGAGAGCCAGGCTATTGAGATTTGGCGTACAGGTTCCTGAGCTTCTTACGCAGCGCAAGTTTGTTTCAGTAGACTGCCACGCCCACTCTAACGCCCACAAACCGCCCAAAACTGTAACTCCTACAGTTTTGATGCTAGATAGAAAATTTTAACTAAAATGTATTGTTCTCATCAATACCTATCGATTGACCTAAAAAAAAGTTTGCCACGCCCACTCTAACGCCCACAAACCGCGAAAAACTGTGACGCGCAAAATTTACATGCTGGATAAAAAATTTTAACTGAAATGTATTGGTGTCGTCAATACCTATCGATTGATCCAAAAACAAATTTGCCACGCCCACTCTAACGCCCATTACGCTTAAATCTGTCTACCGCCGGTAGGTGGCGCATTTTAATCTCGCTTTGCTGCTTGCATATCTCCATTTCCCTTTGAGTAACGGGTATCTGATAGTCGAGGTACTCGACTATAGCGTCCTTCCTTGTTTTTTTATATTTTTATACCCGTTACTCGTAGATTAAAAGGGTATACTAGATTCGTCGGAAAGTATGTAACAGGCAGAAGGAAACGTTTCAGACCCCATAAAGTATATATATTCTTGATCAGGATCACTAGCCGAGTCGATCTAGCCATGTCCGTCTGTCCGTCTGTCTGTCCGGATGAACGCTGAGATCTCGGAAACTATGAGAGCTAGGCTATTGAGATTTGGCGTGCAGATTCCTGAGCTTCTTAGTGCCACGCCCACTCTAACGCCCACAAAACGCCCAAAGCATTGGCTCCTACAGTTTTGATGCGAGAATAAAAATTTTAACTGAAATGTAATGTTCTCATCAATACCTATCGATTGACACAAAAAAAAGTTTGCCACGCCCACCCTAACGCCCATAAACCGCCCACAAACTTCAAAAAATCGTAAATATGAACGTGGATATCTCGGAAACTATCAAAGATAGAGAATTGGGATTTCAGATTTAGATTTCGTAGCCTTATACGCAGCGCAAGTTTGTTACGCGAATATGCCACGCCCACTCTAACGCCCACAAGCTGCGAAAACCTGTGACGCCCACAATTTTTATGCTAGATAAAAAATTTTAACTAAAACGTATTGGTCTCGTCAACACCTATCGATTGGTCAAAAAAAAGAAATTTGCCACGCCCACTCTAACGCCCATAACGCTTAAATCTGTATACCGCCGGTAGGTAGCGCATTTTAATCTCGCTTTGTTGCTTGCATATCTCCATATTCCTTTGAGTAACGGGTATCTGATAGTCGAGGTACTCGACTATAGCGTTCTTCCTTGTTATACCCGTTACTCGTAGAGTAAAAGGGTATACTAGATTCGTCGGAAAGTATGTAACAGGCAGAAGGAAGCGTTTCGGACCCCATAAAGTATATATATTCTTGATCAGGATCACTAGTCGAGTCGATCTAGCCATGTCCGTCTGTCCGTCTGTCTGTCCGGATGAACGCTGAGATCTCGGAAACTATGAGAGCTAGGCTATTGAGATTTGGCGTACAGATTCCTGAGCTTCTTACGCAGCGCAAGTTTGTTTCAGTAGACTGCCACGCCCACTCTAACGCCCACAAACCGCCCTAAAATGTAACTTTTACAGTTTTGATGCTAGATAGAAAATTTTAACTGAAATGTATTAGTCTTGTCAATACCTATCGAAAAATTTTGCTACGCCCACTCTAACGCCCACAAACCTCCAAAGAAAAAAGCTATGACGTCAGAGCCAGACAATGCGAAATGTTTTTACGCGTGTATGTGTGTGTATGTAAATAGTTGCCGGCCGAACTTAGCGGCAAAGAAAAAAGCCCTGCCGGCGCTCACAGAGAGCAAAGTGCGCGGCTAACTTGTTCTATTGAATAATGAACCCTTCATCCATTTGTCCCATTGACGGGCAAAAACCTTTAAAGATCTGTACATCTTTATTTATCTCTTTCAAAGAATATGAATTAGCTTAATAAATACCTATAGATTGTCCCAAAAAAACTTTTCCGTTTTCAGTCCAATGCTCTCAAACCAAAGTAGTTAGGACAAGCCTTGACACTAGAGCCAGAAAACGACATACATACATACATTTATGTGATTATGCATGTGTGGATGTAAAAAATTGCAATCTAATATCCGCGGCAGATAGAATTCTTTCAAACAAAGCTATTCAACCAAATATTTTGAATTACAGAATGTGCCTTAAAATTGTGTATGTTTAGCAAGCATACATAAATATAAATGTTTTTTGTCTATTTTATGTGTTGCTTTCTCATTCTTGGCGCTGGCTGAAACAAAAGCAAAGCCGAGAACTGAGAGCAAGGGAGAGAGAACAAAGTGCGCGGCTAACTTATTTTAAAGTTTGTTATCTGAGTAACGGGTATCTGATAGTCGAGGTACTCGACAAGATTTAACTCAACCAATTTTTCGGTATAATTTGACATTTTATCAACATTTTTTCGAACCGAAGTTGTATATAAAAATCTATTATTTGTTGATGAACTAGATATTGAAGAACTATATTGACATGTTGACATTTTTATAACCGTTTCTAGTAGAGTAAAAGTAAGAAGGAGGCGTTTCCGACCCTATAAAGTATATATATTCCTATCAGGATCACTAGCCGAGTCGATCTAGCCATTTCCGTCTTTCCGTCTGTTTCTATGAACGCTGTGATCTTGGAAACTATAAAAGCAGCTATACTGGGATTAGGCATGCAGATTCTAGAGATTCCTGCACAGCTCAAGTTTGTTTCGTCAGAGTGCCACGCCTACAAGCCGCACAAATCTGTGGCTCCTACAGTTTTAATGCTAGAATAAAAATTTTACTAGATATGTTTTGTTATCAATACCTATCGATTGATTGAAAAAAAAAGTTTGGCACGCCCACTTTAACGCCCACAAAGTTAAAAAAATCGTAGATATGAACGCGGAAATCTCGGAAGCTATCAAAGATAGAGAATTGGGACTACAGATTTAGATTCCGTAGCCTTGTACGCAGCGCAAGTTGGTTACGCGAATATGCCACGCCCACTCTAACGCCCATAATGCTTAAGTTTGTCTGCCGCCCACATAACCATACATATATTAAGATCCCGGGTGGGTGCCGCATTACAATCTCGCTTTTCTGCTTGGAAATCTCCATCTCCTTGTTTTAAGTGTAAAGGTAAATTTCTTCTTCTTCGCCACCTTAATCTACAACTTTTAAAAGCGCCCAAAGTTTTGAAGATTTCATAATAGTTTGAATGGGATTTTCTTCCTATTATCGACATGGCGATTTTTTTTTTAAATCGGAGCTTTCATTTAAAAGTTATAACTTGATAGTAATGACTATATAGCTATTTCCGATATTTCACACCACACTAACACGCCACCCAGCGTTTATTCCAATATTCCTGTGTAATCTCGGATACATCCGACTTGCTGAATGCATATATCCTTCTCTCTTGCACTGCCTTTAGCTGAGTAACGGGTGTCTGATAGTCGAGACCATCGACTTATCATTTTCCCTTGTTTTCGTTTACTTTTGTTCAATTTTATTTTTTGTATACTTTGGAAAAGAGACTGAAACTAGATTTTTAACATGAAAGTCATAGTTGTCGTTTATTTTTGAAAAGTTCCTTTTTTTGTAGACTCGCTCTATTGAGCGATGACTAAAACTAGTATACTAACATATGAGCTAAACACAATCATCATTAAACTCTATGTTTCTATATCTATTTGTAAATTCTTTCATGGGGTGAGCTTGCAACGATGGTAAAGAGCGGTAAGGAACGATCGGGATCAGACCACTATATCCTATAGTTCCCATAAGAATAATTATAACATATGGGAACAATATATTAGGCATATTTTTAGAGTTTACAATAAAAATAAATTTTTATAGTCCTAGGATAGTCGTCATGTTATTGCAATAGAAAGTAAAGGAAAGTTAAAAATAAAAAGGGAAATTACACAAAACTTTGTTTTTACAAATACACATATATGTGTATAACTCAGAATAGTATATTCTTTGCAATAAAACAATAAAATATTTAAAAAAAATGGTAAAAACAAATCATATAGCTGTCTTAGGAACTATCGAAATATTTATGTACACATTCTTACTCTTATATGTATATACAGTTTCTGTTATGTAGGGGAGTGTAGGGTAATACGGAAAGAATACGGTAAGGTGACTAACTTGACAAGTCTCACAAGTCACGTCACGTCAAAATTTTCAAATAACTGTGGTCAATTTCTTGTATCTGGTCGACAATGAATTTACAAGAATAATAATAAGATGTCGCGAAACTAGTACGTAAGATTATTTTGACTAAAAGGGTGGAGCAAACACACCAGCTTACAAAACTTTATTTTATTTTGTAAACTGTTTATATTAGCACACCTATTCAATTTATAAGTGTTTTAGCAGTGCCAGGGCAAAGAATTGTTGAAAACCTAGTCAGTTAAATGTATACAGTTAACGTATACATAAGATCTTTAGAAACAAAAAAGTACCAATGTCATATTTCCAAAAGTACCTTGTACAAAAGTCATAACGCTAAAACCCTTCTAGCGCCTACATTTTTGAAGTTTGTGGAAAAAAACAAATGAAAATTTGTTTTTATTATTAATATCCATCTATGCCAAAAGTAAAGTAAAATCTTTGTTTCGGTCGCTTTGCTGCCTGCAGTCGATAGCGTTCTCTCTTGTTTTATGTGGTTTTTATTAGTTAAATAAACATAAATTTGAAATAAAAATTCAATTCGACAGAGTTTTATCGATGTATCTTGACATTTTAGCTTTATTTTTTTCTTTTCCACAGTCAAAATTAATTTTATATACTAAACTATTATTTTGTTTGATGATGCTTGTCAACTAGATATTGAACAACCTATTTTGTTCAAAATGTACTTTTTTTATTTTAAAATTATATTTGTGTTCTATAAATGAACATTTTCAATCTTCCGTAAGGAAAATAAATATATATGTTAGCATATGCACAGGGTTTTAGTTTTTTTCGAGAAACCTAAATCTATATGTATCTTCTAAAAACGAATCGTTCGCTCTTTACCCTACACTCCCCACGTATTGATAGTTATGATTTTAGCTGCAAGGGGTTTCTAATGTTCGGCTTGGCGATGTTATCTTTCTTTCTCGATTTTATGATATGTGATGAGCTTTAAGTGTAGTATTTTGCTTCGTAGTTCCTACTTAAGTCGTCAATTTGATTGTGATTTCTTATTGGAAAAGTTAGCATGAATCTCCCTGAAGCTATCGTTTTCCTTTGATTAGCAGCTAGTAAGTACAGATGACTCCGTTTGATTTTGCCGTTTCGACGTTATAAATTCGTAAAATTCGTAAAAGCTCAGCACTCGTCATCGGTAATTGTGTAGCTGCCTCGGAACTCGCTTAACGGCGTCGCATTCGCTGTGGATGGCGTCATCAGTGGCGCCCCATGGAAGGATATGGCTAGCGGCAAGGCCGAGGGGGCGCACAGGCTCACAGCGCCACGTCCCTCCGTCACGGAGCGGTATCGCAGCGGGCGGCCGGACCTGGAATTGGATGGCAGTAGTTAGGTCAAAAGGATTATAGTTACAAGTAAAAGGCAAAGTCTTCTTATTTAAACATTGGGCGGCATTTATATGACAATTTTAAAGGTCCTACTCTCTAATCTAGTTAGGGTACACCAATAGCAATATTTTAAAAATAACGCGATTTAGGGTCTTCAAGGTTTCAAAGTTTATAACTCGAACGCCTTTGCCTTTGGTCATATGTATTATTTTCATCTGTTACCCGTATAGAAAGAGGTATACTAGATTTGTTGGAAAGTATGTAAGAGGTAGAAAAAAGCGTTTCCGACCCCTTAAAGTATATATATTCTTGATATATTCAGGATCACTAGCCGATTCGATCTAGCCATGCCCGTCTGTCCGTCTGCGTTTTGCATTTTGTCACTAAAAATAAAACTAATTTCAAAACTTGTCCGGATTTTCGTAGTCCTATTAACCTAACGGAAAAGTACATGACAGGAAAAAATTTTTGATATTACTTATAACATCAAATATGTACCTCGATGGCTACTAGAAAATCTACTTCGCTATGAATCGGCATTTTGAAGTGTTCACCAAAAAGTTCGCCTACGCAATAATCTAAGAAAACAGAAGCCAAAGTTGGAAAAAGGCAGTTGTTTGTTATATTTGAACCGCAATTACAGACGACCGAATTCTTGGTTCGGTAGTTCGTCAAAGTATTCGAAAAGCGCCACTCTTAATCCTTAGATTTTTTTAATAATCACTTATTTGCTTCAGCAGATTCCCACGCCCACTCTAACGCCCAAAAATCTCAAAAGCTTGTGGTGCCTACTTTCTTGAAGATATTTTTTGAGCGTACATTTTATATTTTCTATCGACTTGCCAAAAGTTATTTAAATGGTCAGCTGAGTAATGCGCATATGAAAATTGATACAGTGTTCGTTCTTGTTTTTTCCCAGGTCAACAATATTCCCCTTAATTTAGTTTGACAGAGCTGGATTTCACATACTGATAGTCATTCCCTCTCTCACTTGGCCTAATACCTCGCCAAAATAAAAACCCCTGAAAGTCAATTATACGTTACGTTGGACTTTAATTCCCATCAGAGTGCACCCGCTATGCAATAAATTGGGTCTGATTCTCTTTTTTCCAGATTAAAGTCCCCGACTCACCGTTCGCAGTTGCACTTGAGCAAGCGGATAAAGGCCGCCCGGAACGTTCTATTGAATATGGTATAGATGATGGGATTGATCGTCGAAGATACGTAGCCCAGCCAGAGGCAGGTGTTCACCACGTGCTCGGGCACCTTGCACTCGGGGCACGCGGCGAAGATGATGTTCAGGATGAAGAAGGGCGACCAGCACAGAACGAAGGTGAAGAACACCAGTCCAAGCACCTTTGTTGCCTTCTGCTCCGTGGCGACCGCGTTAGCCGATAAACTGTTCCGTTTGCTGCGATTGTTTAGGAAACTGCAAGAAAGAGTTAATAAAAACTATAAAAGCAAGAAGGAAAATCCACGGTGAGATAAGAGGACTTAGACTAGAGTCGTGCCCTTGTTGGCCATGAAATAGAGTCGATCTAGCCATGTCCGTCTATCGGTCAAATATGGTAATATCCTTCTGCGCTGCGACTCATCTTGATTTATTTGAATGTATATATTCATTCTTGAACGCGCCCGGGAGAGTGTGATCATAGCGAACATGAATAATTTCAATTAATTTTGGAGAAAGTGTAAGAAAGAAAATTTTGAAAATTGGAGCTGTTGAGAATGGTGGTGAAAAAAAGTGTATTTATTTAATTGAATTTTCCAGCATTTTTCGTCACAAAATGTAATATTAGAACTTTTGTTAATTAAAGGTCACGACCTCTAACCTTGTTAAGAGGTGCTTTTATATTATCTCAAACATGAAAGAAAAAACGTCGCAAAACCGAAGTTTATATACCCTGGCAGTTATAAGAAATAGTCAATGTTTTGATTTTTTAAGGACTGTTTTTAAAAAATGAATAATATAAAATTTATAACATAATTATTACACATTATTACATATCTCGAGTTATATGAGGATTTCATTGTCGTCTTATGAATTTATTCGTTATTTTTTGTTGCATTCTTTTTATATCAATATTAATATTAATATATTATTAAGATATCGACTCCTTTCATTTTTCAACAGAGAGGGGAGATACCCGTCGATCTGCGGTTGAAGGATTTGTTCAAATAAAATGTAAACTAAATTTCATAATTTCACTATCTATACCCGTTTCTCGTAGAGTAAGAGTAGGTAGAATAAAGCGTCTTCGACCCCATAAAGTTGATTTATTTATTTCAATTATAGAACCTTGATTAACTCTTAAAAAATACTATTTAATAATGTTACATATTTATACTCTTGCACATATAAAGTATATATATTCTTGATCAGCATCACTAGCCCAGTCGATCTAGCCATGTCCGTCTGCCCGTGTGAACATTGTAATCTCAGATACTATAAGAGCTAGAGGGTTGAGATTTCAGATTTTGAATCCTTATCTTCATAAACAGCGCAATTTATAATGACTGAAAAAAATATTAACTGAACGTCAATACTTATTGATTGACCTAAAAAAAGTTTAACACGCTCCCTTTAACGCCAAAAAAGGTCTTCCGCCCACATAGCCATATATTGAAATCGTGGGTAGTGGCGCTTTACAATCTCGCTTTGCTGTTTGCATATCCCCATCTCCCTTTTGCTTCCTTTAGCTGAGTAAGATACCCGATAGTCGATGCACTCGTCTATAGCGTTCATATTTGTTTTTTATCATTCCGCTGGAAACTTGTTCCTACTAATATACTACCTGCAATGTAAAATACCCATTTGGGAAGGTTTCATCCCGATAGCTTTAAAACTTTTGGTCTATGGGGTCGGAAACGTATCCTTAAAACTCTGCAAGGGTATACAAATATAATATTAATAGATAGGATCTTTTAAGAAATATGTAAAGTTTCCATAAATAAAATACAATTTCAAAGTCCACCTATTAACTGCGAACTATCTCTTATAACTTAGTTTTCAGTTTATTAGAATCCCATTATATTTAACAATATTACTACGTATATAGCATGTTTACTCACCGTAAATTTAGAGTGGGCGTGGAAACTCGGTTTAAAGAAAACTTAAAGGTCCGCATTTTCTGGCGCTGTCGTTCGTCGGGCTTTAAATCTGTGGGCCTCACCTGCTCCATCGAGTGATTGCCTCCAGCTCCCTGGCCCTGGCTCAGAGTGGGTCCCTGGATGGTGGCGATTTTCATCATGCTGGTGCCTCCAGGAGTCGAGCAGCTCGTTGTCGCAGCTGATGAGCTATAGCCACCGCCTCCACCTTCCGACGATTTGCCAGCGCCACCTCCATTTGTCGGGTAACCCAGTTGTGGCTGAGACATACTGACACGCACAGAGGCCCGTCGATTCGGATGGCTGTTGGGTGATTGCGAACCAAAGTTTTTCATTAAAAGGGAGCTTAATGAAAAAGCACTGAAAAACATATTCTTCTCAAATTCGCTTAAAAGTCATTATGGAGGTATATTAACTCAAACTAGTATGTGTACTTAATAGTTGCAAATATAAACTTATACAATGAAATGCATATGTTATTGTAGAAGTTACCCTATATTAAAAACCATGTCTAAAACATCTTTTGGACCCAATTTTCGTTGTATATTTTAAACCAAAGTGTATGGAAAGCAATATCTTCTTTTGAAATAATAATAATTTGTTGAATGCAAGTTGCAATCAGCAAAGCGAGATTGAAATTCATTATTTGGTAATAATTTTGTATTGAATAATAATAAAAATACCTTTTCGTTTTTTTCCTTTATAAAATATTTTCGGTTTCTCATATCGCTGTTCGAGTGTTTGCTACTAGATTTAGATCTTCTGATTACTGTCGTTCTTCCATAACCGACACCCTCAAAAGTTAATAAAATTACTTTTTAATGTTATGATATTTGGGAGGGGGAAGGTATGAAACCCAAAAGCCAACAGCAACGAATTTCCGTCGTTTGGGATAAACGACTCCTGAACCATCTCTACCATAATCAGTTTACATCTGTATTCTCGTTGAGCCGAAGATCTAGCCCTTTAGCTAAAAGCATTATTTGGCGGATGGGTAAATGAAAAGAGAAGGAAGCTTGTGCCAGCAGAGAAGAATAATTTTTAATATTCTGTTCCGAAATATATGCATATTTGTATACCCTTGCGGAGGATATTATGATTTCAGTCAGAAGTTTGCAACGCAGTGAAGGAGACGTTTCCGACCCCATAAAGTATATGAAATAAATTATAGCTTCGGTGTTTTTTGACATATTATCTTATACTATTGGGAATATCATCTCTTACATTTTTTAATTTAATAACTATAACTGCAAGGGTATACAAACTTCGACTTGCCGAAATTAATTTCCTTTCTTGTTATACCCTTGCAGAGGGTATAATGATATCAGTCAGAAGATTGCAACGCAGAATAAAGAATATATATTCTTGATTAGCATCACTAGGTGAGTCCATCTAGCTATGTCCGTCTGTCCGTATGAGCGCTGAGATCTCAGAAACTATAAGAGCTAGGCTATTGAGATTTGGCGTGCAGATTCCTGAGCTTCTTACGTAGCGCAAGGGTGCTACGCCCACTCTAACGCCCACAAGCCGCCTAAAACTGTGGCTCCTACAGTTTTTATGCTTGAATACAAATTTTGACTGAAATGCATTGTTCTCATCAATACCTATCGATTGAACCAAAAAAAGTTTGCCACGCCCACTTTAACGCCCACAAACTTCAAAAAATCTAAAATATGAACGCGGATATCTCGGAAACTATCAAAGATAGAGAAGTGGGATTTCAGATTTGGGTTCTGTATCTTGTACGCAGCGCAAGTTTGTTAGGCGAATATGCCACGCCCACTCTAACGCCCACATACCACCGAAATCTGAGGCGTCCACAATTTTCTTGCTAGATAAAAAATTTTAACTGAAATGTATTAGTCTCGTCAATACCTATCGATTGATCCAAAAAAATGTTTGCCACGCCCACTCTTACGCCCAGAAACCGCCTAAGCCTGTGGCGCCCACAATTTTCATGCTAGAAAAATATATGCACACCATTTGGTCTTTTCGAAACGTCACACAAACACTTCAAAGACTAATGGATAATGTTCTTGGTGCCACTGACTATGTTTATTGTTTTGATTATATAAAGCAGCACGAAGAGCATCTTGGCAATGTTCTTCAAATTGTACTTTGCGTCAACGTAGACAAATGTCAACACTGTAAATCAGAGGTACGTTTTCTCAGTTATATTATTAATCAAATAAAAACATCTCATAACGAGGTAAGGTGTCGTAAAGATCGCACCTTGAACTTACAAAAGTCCTGATATCATATTTTGTGGCGAGCAATAATTGTAAACTCGATTAATTAAATACACCTTCTCGCTACTCTATTGCATCGTGCCGAATGAGTAAATTTTAAAAATTGTATTTATATAGACGAACTTACGAGCATTTTTTGTCATAAAATTTGGTCTGAAGTTGAAGGTTCAATCGAAAATATGGATAATAACGTTGGGCATTTATCCTCACCTGCCCCAAAAGCTCAAATTTTCTAATTTTCTCTTTTAAACTTTCACTGCTTTTTCTTCTTCTTAGAAAGCAATATCTTTAGCTTTCGCAATACCTTTCACTCGTTGTGATCGGACCATACCTGCAGGTTTTAAATTCTGCGAATATATATAGTAGTCGCCACCACACACTCCTATGGTGCGGGTTCGTCACTACGTGGAGTGCCGTCCACAGTGAAAGTGATGGAATAACTTGGACAGATAAAGGGAGGATTTGAATGTGTCGTAATGTGGGCGGCAGACAAATTTTTACAGACAGATTAGCGTTATGGGCGTTAGAGTGCACGTGACAAACCTCGTTTAAGTTAATCGTGGGCGTGAAGAATTAGCGTAACAAACTTGCGCTGCGCAAAATATTGCAAAGTCATATGTTGATCATTGACGGTCACGCCAGTTCTTAAAGAACATTAATGTAGGGTATTACAAATTAAGATGTTTATTTCGGGTATAGTTAAGTAAATTAAAGAAAAATAGGTTTTTATTTAAACTCCACGACTTTCGCACTCTATGGATGATACGACCTCCTCTGACCAATACCCAATATCGACTGACTTGCTTAAATTTATAAGGCGAAATTTCTGTTAGAAAGATGGTGATGGATATATGTAGATCACCTTGAAGAAAAGGGATAGGAACTGGTTTGCGCTTTTGGCTGATGAAATATGCTATGAGGTTGTGGAAATCTGAACAGTGTGTCCCCATATGAAGTTAAATAGGCTGCTGTAAGTCCCTCTATATATATATATCCCACATTAAAGAATTTAATTTGTGGTTGTGGGGACTGGCCTGCTATAAAAACAATTAAAGATTCTTATCGAATTTTTAAAAATGCCAACACAGAGAAAATAAAAAACCAAAACTGGTCATCAATCGGGTATTTTGGCATATTAATTTTGGTCCCTTATGTATACAACAAATATATATTATATTATTATATATTCTTCCCAATTTAAATCTTCTTTTATGGCGATTTCCCAAATAACGGCGAAAAGTCGGATTTTTAGGGAGATTAAAGGAATTCTTTCTATGAGTGAAAGAATGGGATTTTTTCGACACGACTCATATTGACCCGAATATAAAAATGGTTGTTCACTTTATTTATTTTGAACGCAACACAAAATAAGAACGTAATCAAAACCTCACATCGCAAAGAAGCGTCGCCAAGCCGAGTCCCGCGCCTAAGCCTTCTTCTGGCTGATGGGTAGGAGATCTAAGCTCCCAACGTCATCGAAGCTCCTGGTATATAAGACGATCATCAGGCCGATCTGGACATATGGGACCCAATTATGAGGCACAGCCAGCAAATCCAACGTGAGCATCATCCAGGCGTTCGAAAATAAAATGCTTCGCATCGCCTCCAATGCCCACCTGTTCCACTACAACGACACCATCCATGATGTACTCAACTTCCCATGGGTGGAGGAAGAAATCCAGAGAGCGAGTAGGCGCTACGTCCATATGTTGCATGACCACCCACACACTCTGGCGATAAACCTGCTGGACAATATCGAGAGGACCAGGAGGCTGCGGAGGACCCACCCCCTGGACCTGCACTGAAACCAGGCGGACCATCGATCCACTCTCCTAGCCTGCCATAGATGAAAAACCCAAATCCCAAGTTTTATATTATCACATTTATTGGTTGCCCACGTTAGGATAGTATTAAATAAAAAAATTCCACGTTATAAAAAATAAAAAAACAAGAAAGGAAGTTAACTTCGGCGAGCCGAAGTTTATATACCCTTGCAGTTATAATTATTAAATTTAAAAATACAAGAAATGATATTCCCAATAGTATAAAATAGTATGTCAAACAAGGAAGAACGCTATAGTCGAGTACCTCGACAATCAGATACCCATTACTCAGCTAAAGGGACCAAAGGGAAATGAAGATATACACACAGATTTGGGCTGTTTGTGGGTGTTAGAGTGGGCGTGTTAAACTTTTTTTGGGTTCAATCGATAGGTATTGATGAGAACAATTTCAGAACATTTCAGTTAAAATTTTTATTCTAGCATCAAAACTGTAGGAGCCACAGTTTTGGGCGGCTTGTGGGCGTAAGAGTCGGCGTGGCACATTGCTGAAACAAACTTGCGCTGCGTAAGAAGCTCAGGAATCTGCACGCCAAATCTCAATAGCCTAGCTCTTATAGTTTCCGAGATCTCAGCGTTCATCCGGACAGACGGACATGGCTAGATCGACTCGGCTAGTGATCCTGATCAAGAATATATATACTTTATGGGGTCGGAAACGCTTCCTTCTGCCTGTTACATACTTTCCGATGAATCTAGTGTACCCTTTTACTCTACGAGTAACGGGTATAAAATCACCGAAGCTATAATTTGTTTCATATAATTTTCCCACCAATTTTCCGATCATCCTATGGCAGCTATATGATATAGTTGTCCGATTTTGATCAAATTAAATTCCAAATTCAGAACTAATTAAAAAATGTTATTTCAACGCGTAGGAGGTTTTGTGTTAAAAAACACCGAAGCTATAATTTGTTTCATATTATTTTCCCACCAATTTTCCGATCGTTCCTATGGCAGCTATATGATATAGTCGTCCGATTATGATAAAATTAAATTCGAAATTCATAACTAATTGAAAAATGTTATTTCCAAGCGTATGAGGTTATATGTTAAGACACACCAATGATGTAATATTTTTAAATTTTTTTTTGGATTATTTCTATGGGAGCTATAAGATATAGTTGTCCGATACGGCTGGTCCCGACTTATATACCACCTGCAAAAGAAATAAGACTTTTTTGAAAGCTTCAGCCCGATAGCTTTAAAACTG